AAGAGGCGCAGAGCTATCAACCGATCAACAGCATCTTGCGACAAATGAAGTACCATGCAAAAATCTTGTGACAGAAGCAACCAGAGAATCAAATAGAAAGCATTATGTTCCGCGGACACGAAGGCGAAACTCGAAAAAAACATCGTCCAAAGGTTTCAACAGATCCCAGTGATGACCGCTGATGTGGAAACCGAGTGGAAGCTCTTTAAGAGCGGCATATTCAAGGCTGCCGCTGAATGCTGCTGATTTAAACGGGTTGACTTACCGCCTGGAGGGCAGAGAATAATTTCCTGGTGGAAGGGAAGTACAAGTTGAGAGGTACACTTGGCAGTCATTGAGAAGAAGGCTTCATTCAGAAAATGCCTTGGAAGTAAAGAGCCTTCAACTCGTATCGGGTATAAGGAAGTGCTAAAAGCGGCAGCGAAAGCAGTTGCGAATGTCAAAGCTGATTTCTGAAAGAGTTACGGTAAGCGGTTGGAGACGAACTTCCAGACGACAACTAAGGTATTTTGGCAGACCATTCGCCGACTACTAAGTAAAAAGAATTGCGGCCTAAAACACTTTGAAGAACACGCCTGGGCATCCTCCTCCTGAGGATAAGGACATTGTTTTGGCGATGCAGAGAATACTTCAAAGAACTCCTTAACCCGAGCAACGACAAGAACACTCGCCTGTACAGCAGCAGGAAAGAGATATTAGTATTTCTGCAGATGAAATCGCACAAGCTGGGAAAAGCTTGAAAAAACGAAAGATTGTTGGAATCGATGAAATCCGCCGTGAAATGCTTAAAACAACAGGCGAAGAGGACATGTGCTGACTTATTTCGTGTCTTTCTAATTGCAATGGTCGCGGGGAAGATACCAGCAGACCTGAGAACGGTATTTGTAGTACCCCTGTTCCAGACGGAAGACCACAAAGAGTGCTCAAATTATAGAGGCATTACGTTACTGAGCCTCCCAGATAAAGTCTACGCAAAGGTGATAGAAAGGAGATGCCGTGGAATAACTAACTCCATGATGCAATAAGAGCAGTGTGGC